AAGAAATTAGTTTTTTAAAATTTTATAAATTTTTAATATATATATAATAATTATTTTTAAATTTCATAATATTATTTAAATTATTTATATTTCGAACAAAAACGAATCGAACACGAACGAACGGGTCGTTGTTCGTGTTTGGTTCGTTTAACATTCCGAACAAAAAAATTTGTTCGTGTTCGTCTCGTTTGCTTATCGAACGAACCGAACACGATCTGCTTCACGAATCGAACACGAACTGTTCGCGAACAACGAGCTTTTTTGACAGCCCTAATGGCGCGGGACATGGGCTTCCAGAACACCGCCGGTCCCGCCAAACACCAAGCAGTCGCCCTTCTCGTCCAGACCGACCGCTCCGTCTTCTACCGCTGCCGAATGGACGCCCACCAGGACACCCTGTACGTCCACACACTACGCCAATTCTACCGCGAATGCACCATCTCCGACAATATCGACTTCATTTTCGGTGACGCAAAAGCCATCTTCCAAAACTGCCAAATCCTCGTCCGCAAACCTGAAAACCTCTCGACAACCAGCAGAACATCGTCACCGCACAAGGTCGCAAGTCCCGACAATCCGCAACTGCCATCATCTTTGCCGAACCTCGTTAAATCTCTGCGTTCTTCTGAATTTGTGTCACGTCACCGCACAAGGCCGCAAGTCCCGACAATCCGCAACTGCCATCATACTCCATAACTGCATCCTCCACAACTACACCATCACCGCCGACCCGTCTTTCCCCCCCGCTCCCCACTCTAGGAACCCAACCTACCTCGGCAGGCCGTGGAAGGCGTTTTCTAGGACTTTTGTAATCCTATCCTTTATAGATACGCTCGTACATCCTAATGGGTGGCTGCTTGGCTTGGGGATTTTGGACTGAGGACGTGCATCTATACGGAAGTGGAGAACAGGGGGCCAGGGGCGGATAAGAGCAGGAGGGTTAAGTGGAAGGGGGTGAAGAACATTAGTTATGCGCATGCGCAGAAGTTCACAGTTGAGTATTTTCTGTGGGGGAATGATTGGCTTCCTTTGACCCAAGTTCCTTATATTCCAGCTTTGTTGCCCCCGCCAGAGCCAGGAAGGATACGTTGATGACGGATTTCTTGGTATATCCAGATAAACATGCCATTTTCTTCCATAAAATAGATGAAAGCTACAATCTTTATTACACAGAGGGTACATATATGTTCTATTTTAATTTTACATTTGATTTTTTTCATGCTGTTCTTCGGTGCTCCCGAGACTCTGGAAGGGATGAAAAAATCCGATAGATATTCACTGTGCCCTTGGGGTTTAAGATAAATGAGAGTAACTAAAGTAAAGACCTTTACTTGACTTGAACCAATTAATGTACTCTTTTTATTTGTCTTAGGATGATATACAGCACAACATATACTGAAGGACAAAACATTTATATAAGAAACGTGGTAAGAACCATTGTTTAATGCACTATTATTAGGATAAAAACTCCCTTGATTGTGCAATTACTTGATTATGAACTGAATAACTAAAAGTTAGAAAGTTAATCTGTTATTAACCTAAATAACAAACAAAAATTCTTTATAGCAGAAAATGCCTATGAAAAGTTAAGAGATTTCTTGTCTGAAACACAAATTAGCAGCACAAACTGATATCATCAACTCAACTACATGTCAGAGTTCAACCAAGTTTCTTCGCCAAGAAAATCAGTGGTGTAATTGTCTCAGAGGACCTCTTCGGAAAATGTAGGGAGATACTGCATATGAACTCCAATGGCATTCAAATATTTCCCACTTCGACCAAAAAATCCACGAATCCTTCCTGCAACAGCGGGCGAGGAGAAAAATGCTCCGCCTTCCTCACCAACAGGACCATATTCTTTTTTGTTTGTAAAGAATGTCAGGGAGGTAATTATGGCAACATTATCATTGTCTCCATCTCTAAAACACCGCCAGTACCCTGAAATCCGTACCAGGTACTCATCAGGGGCATTAAGTTTGATCTGCAATTCAAGAACAAAGAGTTAAATGATCAGAAAAATCTCATAATTAAACAACTAAAAGGTGGGCTAAACTCTAAATTTATTAATAAAACTGACCAAGTTGCTTATCTGATTTGTCCCCAGACTTCCACGTCTAAAAGACCAAATCAACTCTCCATTGCGCTCATACTCGGTCGTTATTGAGCTGAGAACATCACCAGTTTTTGTCAATAGTATCTGAGTTATCTTCTCGTTGAAGCCATCATCAAATGGATTTCCAATCTTGCCACCCCATGGACCAGGATCAAGAGAAAGCATAAGTTCCTACACAAACAATATTATAAGTATAAATATTGTTGGCGATTAATTTGTTAGTGAATCACATCCAACAAATAGAGCATAAGTAAGAGAATAGATAAGTAAAATAAAATAATTTTAAAGAACAGTAAGCTCCAGTGATCAATCATATCTTATTCATAAAATGATTCCCATAAAAATAGACGATGGGATACAATATGATGTTGTTACATCTTTGTCTCTACTTTAAAGGGGACAATACTGAGGTATTTATGATATTTTACATACGTGAGTCTATCATCAGAATACTTTCTGACTTTGCCCACTAAAATTAGTCGGCCTCGAATCGGCAAGGTCAGCTGGATTGGCTGAGCTTGGTCAATATGGGTCGACCAGTTGTTATGACCCAAATGTTGATCATTGACCGATGGTGAGGAGCCTCTGGGCATCTTTGGGATGGGTGGAGAGGCTAGGGAACCAAATCTTCTCTTTGCTCGGCTGAGCTTGGTCGATATGGGTCGGTCAGTTGATATAGATCAACTGTTGATCCTCAACCCATGATGTGGAGCCTTTGGGCATCCCTAGTTTGGTTGGTTGGAGATAAGAGAGAACCACATCTTCCTTGGATCGACTCTCCTATGATAGTTGGATTAGATACCTTTTTGTCTCGTTTTTGGCTGAGTGGCTCGTTCTTATATCCTCAAGTCATCTTTAATCATTTCTCATGATTCAATCGGCGTTGGTCTTGCTAGCTTGGCTTGGACAGCTTCACTCGATCAGACAAGTAGGTCTCATGATCTTTTGTCAATGGGTCCTCCTTTATCATACTCTTCTATTCTAGACCGTTTACATTTTTTTAAGAAAAATTTTAGATCTCAAATTCTCTTATTTCTTGAAAGCAACACCACAATAATAATAAGAAATTTTATTAGAACAGTAGATCACATTTATTATTAATTAATCATTCAATGATTGAACTCCCTTGATTTTTATGTTTTTAATTTATATATATAAGATGTGAATGGAATCCTCATTCTTTATTTGCTGAGCAAATCACATTTATTATTAATTAATGATTTAATGATTGAACACCTTTAATTTTTTATAAACAAGGTGTGATGCAACTCCTCATTCCTTATATGCTCAACAACTCCTCTTGTTAGAATTGGTCGGCTTGTGGGTTGTAATGGAAAATATATCAAACTCCTCAAATGTATCCTTAACAAAAATGTTGATATTGCAATAAAATAAGAGAATTTTATTGCAACAGTATATCATATTTATTATTAATTAATAATTCAAGAATTAAGCTCCTTTAATTTTTGCATATTTGATTATTATAAATGCGATGAGACTCCTCATTTCCTATTTGCTCAACGACTCCTCTCTTTTGAATTGGTTAGCTTCCGTGTTTTGTGAGGGAGAACATATTAACCCCTTGGGAGATATCCCCAACAAAAATCTAATTCAATTTGCTTTCGGGAATCCCAAAAGGTCAGAACTGCTCAAAAAGTAAAAAGAACAAAAAAATCGCCATTAAGAAGAGAAAAGTGGTTGCACTCTCACTGTCAAATCAAGTAGGTTCATTTGATTCATTATTTGATAATAAGCAAAGGAATGTTTAGCTGATTAACCTGAACATCGATCAAAATGCGACACAAGACCACTGGCCAAATGGGTCATGCAAGAGGTTGTTTGTGCTCTCTCATCTCATGGTGAGAGATTTGTGTAGATTATTGCATCTGCATTGGATCAGTTTCTGGGTATGAGGAACCTCGGTCTAATTTGTTATATTTTAAATTTTTTAAAGTCCTTTTGTTTTATATTATCTCTTGGTCCATATGACTCGGCTTTGAGAGACTTGGCTGAGGATCTAGCCTTGGATTGCATCAATAATAATTCGACTGGGGTGTCAGCAATAGCAACAAGATGCTAGGTGACTGCAGACAACTCGTGAGTTTTGATGGTGAGTTTTACCGCTTAGAAAATCCTTCTAAGACACACGATGAAGCGGCCAATGGGCTCCAACCATCTCCTAGATCGTTGCCTCCTCGCTTGGATGAGATTGAGAGTTCCTTTGCTTGGTCGGTAGGAATCCAATGAGCGAGAAGATGTGCAAGCTATTAGCTTGCACGAAAAAAGTGGAGAGGATGGAGGTGGTGGGGGTAATTCTTTGTCATGAACTATCTGAAGTCCACGAGAGATCCTTGATACTCTTCAAGCTCTAGTCGAGATGGATCAGCTCAATAAATTTAGGGCTGGGGGTTTGAATAAGAGTCTGCTTTAACTGGGATATATCTCAGCTAAAATGGGGATTGACCGACTTGTAAAGTATTTTATCTCGGGCTAATTTTCACGTGCTTTTTGATAATTTTAATATCTTCTTATTATATTTTTTGTGTTGATATGATCCCTATGTCAGTCGTTTTGGAAACCAATGTAGAGTTTCATTTTCACCCCTACACGGC